AATGACAAATGATAAATGATCAAGATCATTTAAGATTATTTAAATCATTTGTCATTTAGTCATTTACTTTTACAAAAGATTTTTCGATACTCTTAAAGAATCGCAAATTCTTAGCAAGTTTCGCAATTTTATCTTCCAACGATAAATCATCATTCCAAAGGATGATAGAAGGATCGTTCCAGTAGAACGATAGAAGAATCATTCTAAAGGAACAATTAAAAGCATCGTTCCTCAAGAACTATACAAAAAAATCATTCCTTAAGAATGATACTACATCGTTCTATCAGAAAGATAAAAAATTCGTTCCTTAAAAACAATATTACATCATTCTATCAGAATGATACAAAAAATTGTTCCAATAGGACAATAAAGATCGTTCTAAAGGAACGATACAAAAAAATTGTTCTAATAGAATGATAAAAAGTCATTCTAAAGGAACTATAAAAAATTGTTCCAATAGAACGATACTACATCGTTCTAAAAGAAATGATACAAAAAATTATTCCAATAGGATGATAAAAATCATTCTAAAGGAACAATACAAAAAAATCATTCCAATAGAATGATAAATTATCGTTCTATCAGAACGATAAAAAAAATCATTCCTTAAGAATGATAAAAGATCGTTCTTAAAGAACAATAAAAAAATCATTCCAATAGAACGATATTACATCATTTTAAAGAAATAATACAAAAAATCGTTTCAATAGAATGATACAATATCATTTTAAAGAAACAATAAAAAAAATCATTCCAATAGAATGATAAACCATCATTCTATTAGAACGATAAAAAAAATCATTCCTTAAGAACAATAAAACGTCATTCTAAAGGAATGATAAAAAATCATTCCAATAGAATAATACTACATTGTGCTAAAGGAACAATACAAAAAATCATTCCAATAGGATGATAAAGATCATTCTAAAGGAACGATACTTTTAATCATTCTTTTGAACGAAACTAAAAAATTGTTCAATTTTTAGCTTGAGTTTAGCACTTGACTTAACTTTACTGAACTTGTCTAACTCATAATTTGAGTCGACTCGTTCGGAACTCGAATATAATTTAATATACTATTATATACTATATAAAATATTTGCCCAATATGAAATAATTTTTTTTAATATATATAATCAAAAATTTTAATAAATTTAACTTATTTACACTATAATAAACAAAATAAATAATAAAAATTTATAAAATTTGCTATATTTAAAAATTATTGAAATGACTGGTCATTTGATAATTGAAATGACAGGTCATTTGTCATTTGTCATTTGAGTCATTTGCCAGTCATAATCATTTGGCGAACAATGATGTATATTATGTATATGGCTAAAAAAATTGATTAGTTAAATTTCTTTTTAATGATAAATTAAATATAAATCATATATATAATAAAAGTCTTATTACACTTTTAGATTTTTTGGTAAGTATCGTTTATCTAACTTTAATTCTTTTTCACATATATACTAAATTTTTTTTTTGAATTAATTAGTTGTGAAAAATATTTATGCCTACATAATTTCTTCTTTTTAGCATATATATGAGATTTCATATCAAGAAGAAATTCATTATATTTATTATTGTTATATTTATCTAGGTTATTATTACCTTCATTAGATTTATTATCATCAGTTATTTCATTATCACTATCATTATAATCTTCGCTATTATTGATTGGATGTGAATTAGTATCAATTTTATTAAAAATACGTTTTTTATAAATAATTAAAGAAGGGAATTCATGATATCTATTACAAATATTAAAATAAGCAATATCTGATTATTTTGACTAGTTAAATATTTAATGAAGAAACTTCACTAGAATTTCCTATATTATCCTTCCATAACTAAAAAGATCTAAAGCTTTTACATATTGAAATTTTAAATCTTTTAGTTTTTCAGGATCAACATATGTGATCCTATCAAAAGCTTCAATATTAATACTAAAATTTTGCATATTCATATTATTGAAATACTAAAATCCATAATTTTAGCATATAATTATGAATAAGGATAATAATAATCAGTCAATGAATCATAGTCAATCAATGATCAATCATAGGTCTTTTGTTAAACTACTGACTGGTTATATTAATCAGTTTACTAGTCCATATAATAATAATGTAATTTAAAATTTTTTATCAATAATTTTAATATAAGCTTTAAATAATATTAATATAATATCATAAAATACTGATTAAATTATCCACCCTCCCCTCCTGCGTAAACTACTCTTCAAAGTTTTGAGCTAAAATTTTGTAAGTATTTTATATAGAAGTTTTATTAAAGACTGTAAATTAACTAATATTATATATAATTATCCATCTAGTATTTATAAAATAATATCAATGGATGCAAAAAATATAGTTACATAACATCCATATGCAAGAAATATGATTTGGTAAATTTTTCAATTTATAAATCCTGTATGCAATTTTTGATTACTAACATTAAATTATTTGGCCAATAATATTAAATTATCTGGCTGAAACTAAATGTTATTGAAAAACCCAATTAATTCATCCTTAAACTAAAATTACATTAATATTATTGAAATTTTTTGATATTTTCAACAAATTATTCATTATTATACCTTTTTAATTTTCATCATATTTGACATTATCAAACAAAATTAATTATTATCATTAAAATTTAAACCATTCTGATTATTATAATCTTATTTATCATCTCCTTCTTCTCCTTCTTCTAATTCATTATTTGTATTATTTCTATTATCATTTTCTTTATCTTCATTCATAAAATGGTATAATCAAAAATTAGATTTTTCATTTTCTGTATCATTTGTTTTAAACAAAATTTCATAACATCTAAATGATTTGTGAAATAAACTTAGTTCATAAATTAAATCGTGTTAGATATATCAAGAAACATTCAAACTTCTTAGTATATTTATAGGTAAAGACTGTATAGAAAAATTATGAATATGATTTGTCATCCAATCAATATAAAGCTCATAAATCTGTTAAAATTTAATTGATAAAATTAAATAATATTTTAATAATTTAATAAATATAATTTAAATCATTAAATAAATACAAATAACTTTTATTTCTACATCAAGAGGTTGCAGCTTAGATGTTAATTCACCAGGTATTACTACTATATTAGTTGCATGCTCATTAAGTATTTCTTTAATATAAACAACTAAATATTCATGAAAAGAAACTAAAACTAAGAGTGATCTGAAGATTAATAATAAATTATCAATTCTCTTAGACCAAATATTTTAACCTACTATACCATTTTATTTTTATTTACCAACACCTTTTCATTTGTTCTTACAAATATACTATTAGGGAATATTTCTCAAGACACATTTTTTAACAACAGGTAGTAATTTAGATCTATTTAACATATAATCTAAAATAACTTCTTTCATATCCTGTAGTTTTAATGTTAATAGTGCTTGAACTATATTTTTTCAAGGTATATGAACTTGGTAAATCAAAAGCTATAAAAGTTTTATCCATATTCCAATACATTTAAGTAGATAATCATGTTATATTCTTCTATAAAGAACAAAACTTAGAAACTTTGCTGTTTTTCTAGCAAATCTTCTAGCAAACATTGAGATACTATTGTTCTTTAATAATTTAAAAGAACAAATGGAACAAGATTTATATTCGATCTTGTTCATCTCAATATGAAATTTTCACAAGAGTTTACAGTCTGATTTGGTAAGTTGTTAAAAATTCTCAGGAAACTGATTATTCGGTTAATTAAAATGGTCATCAGCAACCTCTAAAGTACGTCATTGTCTTTGTTTTTGTAGTCGTATTTATTCACGCTTTCTAGTTAAACGAGTAGCACGTTCTTCATCTGTTTCAGTGGTAATTTTTCGACATAAAACAATCCATCTATTTATTTGAGAATTTAAAGAAAGAAAAATTTGGATATTTCTCTTGATATTCATATGTTTGTGCAAATTTTTTGGTCTTTTTTACTGCATATTCCTCGTAATTAGTAAACTTTATATCCTACAGTCTATAATTCATTTTTGTAGCATTTGCTTCAAATCTGAAAAATATGAACTTTTACTATTATCGTACCGTTCTGAAATTAGACAACCCCTAAAAATAAGCAACTACAAAATTAATATATATCTGAAAATAAGCAACACTTAAATTTCTGCAATAAAATTAATAAAATAAACATTAATAAAGTTTAAATGTCGTATTATAAAACTTATTTTATTATTATAAACATTATCATAAACTATAGTTATTTATTAATATTAGTATCGCTATAATCGTTAATACTACTATCAATATCATTATTGATCATTATTAATACTATCAATAATATTATCAACCAACATCAATGATATTATCATAAGAATTTTTACTATTGGTAATTTCATTATCAGATTTATCTAAAGTTGAAATTTTACAAGTCTTAAAAGATCCTATAATCATTTCATCTTTGATACCTTCTCAAGCACGTTTAACTCATCTATAAACATTAGATAATCTAACACAACAAAGGTTTCCTGATGTAGTTACTCCAGCATCACCTTCTGCCAACCAAATATGCCATTCTTTACAAATATTATCTTTAAATGGCTTATTAATAGTTACATCAAGTGGTTGACATATGCTGATTAAACCACCTGGAATAACCACTAAATTAATACTAATGTCGTGAAATTTTGTTTTAACAGATTCTTCAAGAAGTCTTCTGAAAGAATCATATACTATTATTGTTAAAGCATTATTAATTCTTAGATTATTATTAATATAATCTACATATTTCTTCATTAAAATAGCATTCATACATCCATTTTGCTGAAACCAAGCAATAACACCAGATGGAATCTGTTCATTACGTGATATCTGTTTTCCTTTAAAAATGCAAATTGGTGAAAATTTCGTATTATCTACAAAATAAACAATTAGATAAATAAGAAAGTAGTGAAAAAAATATTAAAAGATTCATACCTGCGAAACATGTCAAAACAACTGTAAATCTGTTTTTCTCATTGCCAGTTTCACAAATATGAATCATTTTTTACCCTATATTATCAATAGTAAAGTTTCCTACCATATTAAACCAAACAGAAATTTCGTTCATATTAAGAATATTAGATAATTTAAATATTTTTTCAGTTTTAAGGCGGATGATAAACTCATAAAAGATTTTAACAATTCATCAGTTTGCGATATTAGCTTTTGTGAAATTTTAGTACGCCAGCGTCGAGAAAAATTTATTTTTTCATGAATGCAAACATTCAACAGTTTAATGTTTTAAATTTATTTGTTTAATCTCCATAAAGACTTATCATAGAGGGTTCTTTTAAAATATTCAGCATCTTAACTCGTGCAATTGCATATGAAACACCTAATTCCTGCTTTCTTTGCTCAATAATCTAATCATATAATGTTTTTTCAGCTTCTGGGTAAAAACATTTTTGATCAGAGCCAACTCGTTTGCTATTTTGGTTTAGTACATTTACCCATTTTTCTTTTGCCTTAACCCAGCATCTAACCGTGCCTTTATCAGTTTCAAAAGAACTTGCCGCTCTAAATATTCCATTTTCTTTAGCATAAGTGACAACTTATTTCATTTGCTCAATAAAATATGAATTGCAACGTCATTTTACTATTTTTTATTAACAGCACTTAGACTTTTTTGCTTTTTTTTATTAAGCAGCATTTGTGTAAATTTTTAAACAAGTTTATCAATAAGTTCATGATCTTATTATGCATGATTAATTTAATAGCAATTAAAATTATGTAATACAGGCGATTATTGCATAAAATGCATAGTTTCTTTCATTTTTACTTTTTAAATTTAAAATTTTTTATTTTTAAAAAATACCCGAAATTAAACAACCCTATAACAAAAAAAGGTTGTCTAATTTCAGAATGGTACGGCATGTAGTTTTAATAAATTTAATGCTGATATCTTAAGTTAGTCTCTTTTACTTCTCTAATCATGAACTTGAATTAGTTTTATATTTAAATATTTTGCAGTTATACAAATAATGTTTAAATAGTCTAAAAAATTTAAAACCATTAATTTTTTGCAAATATATCATTGTTCTTTTTTTATCATATTTCTAGAATATTTAGGTTTATTGTTTCCTTTGACAACTATTTTAAAAGTAATATTATGAAATGAAATATAAAAGTGAAATATGAATTGCTATATATAATGCAATGTAAAATTTTATAATAAATAATATGATCTATATATTAAATTTAATTAAACAATCCCCTTATATCAAACTACTTATATGAAGCCTTTGCAATAGAAAGGGAGGAAACTGCTAGGAAAATTAATTTTACTTTTATATGCCAAATATGATTTTTAGGCTGAAATATATTCAAATTTAACATTAACTCATTTTTTATTTTTCCGGCAGTTTTCCCCTTTTCTATTGCAAAGGCCCATATGATTAAACTACCCAGATAGTTTGCAAATTTAGGGGTAGATTGTAAAATCTTGGAATAGTTTATTTAATACTTTATAGTATTTGAAAAAACTATGATTTTTTATATATTTTACTTATTTCATTTAAAATAACTTGATATGTATATTAAGTTTACTTTTATTATCAAAACTTTTTTTAAAAAAATAAATTAAAATGTTTATTTTAAAAAATTACATAACTAAAATGATTGTTAATTAAATGCAAAGAATTCTTGATTAAAAATATTTGATCAACTGATCAATCAAAATCAGTTAAAGTTAGTCAGTTAACCAATCAATCAGAAACCTTTGACCAACTGATATCTATGACTGATATTGACCAGTTATGACTGTAATTATTAGCATTCCTAATTATAAATAAGTATGTTCTTTGAATGCTATATTTAAAATAAATATTATAAATAAATAAATTATTCAATTATAAACATTAAATTAACAAATAAAAATGAATAATTATAAAATCTTTATGTAGAATATTTTCATTATATAAATAATTTAATCTATCAGCTA